CCATTTGCAATATTTTCAAAATGTGACTGTTTTAATCCATTCTTTGTCCTGAACTACTTTTGATATTTGGTGATGCTTCTTTACATGCATGCATTTCTGGGTTACTAAAGAAATAATTCACTTGGCAAATGTATTACTTGCCGCTGTTCTAAAACGGTTTGATTGTCAGATGAACGGGTAGATAGAAGAACGGGAAGATATAGGCAGTCAGACAGACAGGCGGATGGGTGGACGGAAAATTCAAGGTCATATTCAGATTGATTGGAATACAGCGTTGACATTCAGCGCAAAGCAGGATGGTACTGTCCTGAATATCTTCCCCAGACATTACAGTAAAGTTCACAAAGATTATGGTGTAATGGTGTGGGTTACAAAGCTGATTTAATTTTTTTAAGTCAAAGATAATCTCATCTCAACCTAAGTTTCTCTATGACGTAAGTTGCACCTTTTCGATGTATTCACTGCGGTGTAGTTATCGGGTTATACAATGTATATGGAAATAGGTCACCTTCAAACATAGAAAGTGTTATAATATAATATAATATAATATAATTTATTTTAATTTTATAATAAAATAATATATCATGATGTACATCTGGCGAGAATTACTATTATTTAACAAACACGAATGTGTTCGAAAGTGTTACAGGCGCATTCCATGTCACCTTTCTTTGAAAAATGTGTGTCCGAAAACAAATAAACGATTTGCTGAGAAGGTTAAAATGAAGGAGATTCAAGCGAACAAAACTGTAATCAAAGCAATGATGTCTACATTGAGGTACTTGCAAACTTACCGAATATTTCGTTACAATCATGATTGTCTAGTATTATTATTGATTCCACCCACTACAACGTAGTCGTCTTTTGCTGTCAGACTCGGAAATTATTGCTGAACATGATTTATGGGTGGCCGACTATGAAGCTAAGCAAAAAAACGTCGGACTATTATGGGTGCTGTCTTCTGAGAAAGGAAACGATGCGTTTCACTGAGAAGCAAGTATTTATAGATGCAACGAAGTATAATCAATCCACACAATGCACACAGTTGTAATAAATGAATGTCTGTAATTTGGGACTAAAAATGCAGTTTATGTTTATTACCCTTTCTATGTTGTTTTTTTTCTTTTGTAAATTTCCTTTATGGTTGGTGTGCCACATGATTCACATTGTGGAATTTAACTTTCCTCAGAACTAGTAGAGGCGGGTTGTGTTATAAGTTACGAACATCACACATAATGGATTACTGGTGCAGTTGGTTTTTGCGATTTAATGCCGAATAGTCGTTTGGTAGCCATGGTGGTTTATCTCTATTACTCGAACCTGGCGGCTATTCCTTAGCAATTTGATATCGCTCATATCACATATGCACCACACGTGACATACAGATTGAAAGCCAGCCAGTAACTGAATGAGTATTGTCGTCATCAACACGGTATCGCCTGTTAATATGGTATGTTTGATAATATACCTAATCTTCTGTGCAAGATACTAGTATATTAAATGCTAATGACGATTACCCACAAGTATTGAAAACCGGGAAAACAATGAAACTGACGATGTTTTGTTTTCATTCATATCCTAACCAATCACTATTTGTTATTTAAATATCCATATGTTGATTTATTTGTATAATAAACTAATCAGAGTAAAGTGGCTTGAAGATGCATTTCTGAAACGATGGGGTTTATAAAAAGCGCCCTCATTGATATATCTCAATTGTTTTTTTATCTTCGCCAGTTTCCATAGAAGACTTGATTAGTCTATCTACAGCCTACTGCAACATATATTGGTGCGTACGCCGCCAAGTTATCGTTATTGTGTTGTTACTAATTAACATGAATACTTGGTATAATCAATACTCACATGCGGTATGCACCAAGTTGTGCTAAATTATAAACGTTGCCATGGTAGCTCACACATTTGATTCGCTCTAATGCAGACAACATCGCCGCTAGAGGGCGTATTTCATAATGATGTATTTTCATGATTATTGATGGTCACTCTCTTAGACACTGTTTTCCAATCTCAATGGTCGTGCATCGTTACTAGGACTGATATCTGTATCACACGTATGTAAGAGCTTCGTTAACTGGCATCGCGTAATGGAGCAAGCTATACCGACTGTGTACGAATAGGAGGCTAATTGTCCATGGGCTATACTGCTTGATGTTACTAACAAAGGGTACTAATCACGTATGATATCTTTGGAAAGTGTTATTGTGTAATTTTGAAAAATATTTCCTGGACATGACATATCGTACCATATCTAATATTTGGGGGGGGGGTTCAAAATTCACTTGACAATATAAACTGAAATTGTATATTTCAAGCCACTTGTATATTTCAAACATTTTATAATAAAATGGATTAATTATCCGACTATGTACAACACGTCACCGAAATAACTTACCGCTACCCAAAACTATTGATCATTTGAGAGGTATGTTTGACAAAAGTCAGTTTGAATATAATAAATTAAAAATAAAAGTGACTAACCTGTAAATAACGATTCTTACCATAACTATATAATATTCATAGGAGTGTTATTTTGATGAATCGTCTAACGTATAACACATATAGTCGTATTCATGTATGTTATACTATTATTATACACCTATCATAGTTACGCCGTAAGTTACAGCGTATATTGCGGTATTGTTGAGCTCAGTATTTCTCTCAACATATATTTACAAACTATCTCACCAATTACTATCAACGTGATCCAATCTAAATTTCAAACGATTTTGGATTAAAGTTGATTAAATATTTGTGAAATTATACTAGAAATTAAACATAGAGACATATATGTAAATAAATGCGTATTTATGTGCGTTAGCCGAAGAAATCAATTATATAGTATAATATAATTTATTCTAAAATATGTATCGACCCTATTCGTATAATTATCCATATAAATAATAAATATATATATATGGAAAAAAAATTACAGGCGAACTTTGACGTGATCAAATTTTGATCAAGCTACTGATTTGGCCAGGCCAGCAAAGATTTATGAAAATATGCACAATGACCAAATCTGCAAAAAGTGGACTTGACCCATGGATTATAAACTTGAGATGAGCGATGCTATCACGCACATGTGTGGAGAAGGGGATGCGTCTGATTTTAATATTATATATTTTAAACGTCATATACCTACACATACACAATTACAACACACTGTACTGATGGCGCTATCGTCACTCACTCACTGCCTGCACTCACGTATAGTATTTCATACAGAGATAATGTATTACATGTAGAGGCCAATTGAACATGTTGTGTAAGTACATGGGTATATTGATCTCCGGATGAAATATACTGAGAGATGTATTGTGTATATTGGTAGTAATAACCGTTATGATAAACAATGTACAAGCACAGACTTTATTTTATGACATTGTTCTCGACATAGCCACTAACTACCGTGACGTCACAACTCATTACGTTTCCCTTCTTAACATTACCTATATCATGACAGAAGGGACGTAATGTGAAGTAAAGTCAACTTTATTGACATTGTACCCTTTTTAGGGTATTAAATTGATTACAATAAAGGAAATATGATTTAAAAAGAACATAAACAATTAAAAATAAACGGTCAGATAAAGGAAAGTAAAATACAGTAATTACTAAAATAGCTAAATAATAGAAAAAAACACAATTAAAATCACTACTAGTATCAGAAATAAAATAAATATGTACTATAGCTGGATTGTGATATGTGGATAGCGGAAACATTACCAATTACAGGGAAAACAGATTTTCTTTTTGAAATGCTGTATTTTGAAAGGTCAAGTACCGCAATTTTTAGAAAATTGGATGGCAACCTTGACATTCCGCAAAACAAAGACACGTTAAACTGACACCGTGCCTGTGTGTATTCTACGAAGACACGCGGTTATTCCCGCGATGGGTTACTCAGCAAAGTCGAGCTCAGGTTCTTATTTTAGTGCAATACGAGTCGAGATGAAACACGCTTAAAAAAGGCTGTAGTCATTGCACTGCGTAGTCTTGAATGTGCGTCCCACGTAACGTCTAAAAAGAAATATACATTGTTTATTTTCAAACGCACACTGAACGGTGACGTAGACCCCCCCCCCTAACTGCAAAACCCGGGAACGATTCGAGATTTGGCTCACTGATTTATAATAATTCAATATGGCTACGCCTCAGTGAACACTTCATTCGAATACGTACTTACTGATTATTCATTGAATGCGACACTATCACGCCACGTTGCGATGCGAAGTTATGATATATCAGGGAAAACGAGCAACAAGAACTTTGCGACATACTTCGATTTTAACGCAGTTTGCGATCACTGACTGTGTTACTGAGAAAGTTTGTTATGGTAACAGACTCTAGTAATATTTATAAATCAATTAATATTTGTACAAAACTATTGTTTATTTAAAAATATGTTTATAAACCCACCAGCTCTATAAGCTGAACTCATATCCATGCTTGTTGTTGTTGTTCGGTTTCGAGGGGTTTCACGAACTTTGTATGGTCGTATGGTAGTGACGGGTACATCGATTAATTAAACATAAAGTGAGAATGATGATGTAGAGAATGGTGAATACATCAAACAAACAATACTGGGCCGATGCACAGATACAACAGGAGACTCTTGTTGTAAAACAATACGCGCCTTGTAGCGGGGCAGTGAAGCGATTACCGCGCATATAATTCACTCAACCATAACAAATTACATGTTGTTTTAGCATGTAACGTTTTTCTGAATACCGCTTTTATCTTTGCCGGATTTTTGCCATTCGTAATAACACAGGGATGGCCCTCCCCGGGGTCTATGCGAATTAAACGCAGTATAATGTGTTATTTTCATTCGCTTTCGGGGAGCAGTATTTCTGCATGGTTTGTCGATATTTGATACTCAAGTGAGTGACGTCTCTCCATTATGCGGTGAGTCATCTGACTAGCCTTCTAGCTTTCACACAATACCCCACCTCGACTATTTTCTCAAAGATGGCGCCCTGTACGAATCGCTCTCCTCTTGCTCCGGGGGTTCATGTTTGTTGGATTATTATTTTGGTGCTAGGAGCTAAATATGCAGAAAGTAACTGTAAGTAATCGTTTTCCAGTTTTCACACAACGCAATACAGGAAAAGAGGCGATGATAATGCTGCGAGTTCAATTTCTTTTGTGCACGCTAGATTTGTATACATGTCACCCGATTTGCCGTGGAACGCCAAAGCGAGGCTGACGTATCCGATAACTACCGGTGCCTAGGGAAAACCAGTATATACTTTTTCACGGATAAATTTTAATATATACTCAAAAACATAGAAAAGGGTCAAATTCGACAATTTCCCTTAATTTGTTGCAGCAGGATTATTTGAATTAATTCAGGGGCGTATACAGACGGGAGAGTCATTACAGCGGCGCCAAGCCGGGTATAATGGGCCCCATCTCAAAGACTCTTTTGTCACCACATGCAATTCCTCTCTCAGCCGTTAAATGCTTCTGAATCAGCTGCATTTGTGAGAAAAGCCAGAGTCACTCGACATTATGCAGGACATATATGTTTTAGAATCATGAAGAGATAGGGAGACTCTGTGACGACCCCCGCGTGCATGTAGGTTGTACGTCATGTATGTGTCATAAACACAATTGAATATACACACAATTGACTGTACCCCCCCCCCCCGGGAATACGATCACGTGATTGATTTTATTTATATCCTTGCTGATGCGTTATTGAATATAAATATTTGATTACTATGATTCTTAATTAAAAATCTTTACTCACAAATTATGAATCATTGACGACGGTCGACTTAAATCGAGGTTTACAACAGAGAATTTGAACGATTATCATGCTATAGGGGCACTGGCTCTAGTAATAAGAGGTAGTTGTTGTTTTGATATACATAAGTCAAAATGGGAGTTTCTAAAAATTGATGTGTACGCGCGTGTGCACACCCATTTTGAAATCAAGTCGCGATTTCATTTCGGACAAGAGATTTTTAATTATATACAAAAATCACTCTGACAAACATGAAGCCAGACTATCTTGTACTTCGCGTAGTGTAATGACTCTTACAAATATGAGCAATACAATCAGTATAAACTTATAACACACGGGTGCATTACTGATTTAATCTAATTTGGATGGCTGCAAATTTAGTTTAGACTGACTACAAGAAATTTTAATATTTATCCATGATATTTCCATCTACTGGGGTTACCAATACAGATCTTCACCTACAAGGGTTACTAATACACACTGGGGGTCTCAACCTATTAGGATAACTAATACTCACTAGTGATATCTCCACCCGCTTGGGTTACTAATACCCACTGTGATATATCCACCCATTGGGGTTACAAATACCCAGTGTGATATCTCAATCCATTAGAATTACTAATACCCGATGTGATATTTCCACCCGCTATGATTACTAATACCCACTGTGATATTTCCATTCATTAGGATTACTAATAACCACTGTGATATCCCCACCCGTTAGGGTTACTAATACCCACTGTGATATATCCATTAATTAGGGTTACTAATACCCACTGTGATATATCCATTCATTAGGGTTACTAATACCCACTGTGATATATCCACCCATTGGGGTTACTAATACCCACTGTGATATATCCATTCATTAGGGTTACTAATACCCACTGTGATATATCCACCCATCGGAGTTACTAATAACCACTGTGATATCTCCGCCCGTTAGGGTTACTAATACCCACTGTGATATATCCATTCATTAGGGTTACTAATACCCACTGTGATATATCCATTCATTAGGGTTACTAATACCCACTGTGATATATCCATTCATTAGGGTTACTAATACCCACTGTGATATATCCATTCATTCGGGTTACTAATACCCACTGTGATATATCCACCCATCGGAGTTACTAATAACCACTGTGATATCTCCGCCCGTTAGGGTTACTAATACCCACTGTGATATATCCATTCATTAGGGTTACTAATACCCACTGTGATATATCCATTCATTAGGGTTACTAATACCCACTGTGATATATCCATTCATTAGGGTTACTAATACCCACTGTGATATATCCATTCATTCGGGTTACTAATACCCACTGTGATATATCCACCCATTGGGGTTACTAATACCCACTGTGATATATCCACTCATTTGGGGTTACTAATACGCAGTGTGATATCTCAATCCATTAGAATTACTAATACTCGATGTGATATTTCCACCCGCTAGGA